GAAACCAGAGAAGCTGGAGTTTGTGCTGATGTCACCTACCAGACCCAATAAGCAGAGACAGGGATTGAATCTTAATGGGCACTTTATTCAGAAGGCTGGAGATCTGAGAAGACGTAGGGTTTATACCCTAACAAACAATCTTAAATCCCATTTTAAACCAACCCTTTTTATAAGGAGAAGAAAAGTACAGATAAGGGGTTTGGAATTCAGGGAAAAGTTAACCAGATAAAAGCTGCAGCATTCTTCCATCTGTGCCAAGGTGGGTCATACCTTCAGTTCCTGAAACAATAGCTTTTTACATACACTGATTACTAAGCTTATTAGCTACTATCTGAAACTAACATTTTTCCAACATTTGAGTCCCTCATCATTTATATTGGTCATCACACAGTAGTGGGGGTTAAAGATCTCTCCAGTTTACATTTATGTAAAGGCTACATTTAATTTTTTATCTACTGGGTATTTTGAAATAAATTTCAATCAAACAACTGGCATATAAAAAAAGAACTACTATAACAATGTTTTCTTTTACTTTATTCATGGTCTTTAACAATAGCACTATTATCTGGGAGGCATAGTTTTAATCCCTTTAATCATAAAGGGAATGAAAGTGTCTTTATCAATATTTTAGCTCTATCACCTACCATGTCCATGGAAACCAAAAGTCCCTTGAAAACCATAAGAAATTGCTCAATAAGAGGTTAGGTATTTCATGAATACAAATGTGTACCTGTTGCATTTTAACCAAGACTTTATTTAGAGGATAGGGTCAAAAATATTCATAAATAACTTGAAGCCTTCCCCTCCTACCTCCTCCAGCTAATAGGAGTCTTGTTTTCTGATTTGGATGGTAATAACAAGAGCCAGAGGAAACCTAAGGTGGCCAACATATTTTGAATGTCAAAATGGTGTCTGACACACAGGAAGACCTACCTTTATTTTGCTTCATTTATTTTTAAAAGTAAAAACAAGCAAACAAACAAACCAGGATTGATTATAAGAAAAAGCAGTCCTGCCACATCAGAAAATCTGATAACTGGACAGGACTGTTACAGAGCAGAGGTCCAAGGCGGGGGCAATATTTGACCCACCGAGGGATGCCAAAAACTGTTACAGAAAACAGGGGCCCCTCCCAAGGACAGTGTACTAGTACCTACTGGGTTCGTCTGTCCGCCACCAGAGGAAAGACATCTCTCAATGCCAGAGATTTGTGAAAAGGAAAGGAAAGATTTATTTAAAGCTGTATAGACTTAAAGTAGTGACCTGATGTCCCCATAAAAATATCAAAGTACTTTAGGATAACCACAGATGCCCACAGCGCCTCCTTCTCCCCCCCCCCACCCGCCCGCCCTAATTCGGTGTACCGTATCTCAGGAAAAGAAGCACATGTTTGTGTTTCAGGTCGCTGGCACTATCAGCTGTGTCGACATTCAGGCAGGATCTCCAGTTAATCCAAAGTCATGTGGCACCTTCCACTGGCAAGAGTTCTTTGTACCCGTTTTGCCAGGCAAAGTCTCTCCTGCTTCCCAGGCCACTAGGCCAAAGGGAGCACCCCAAAGCCGCATGGGCCTCTTCTACCAAAGCTACAGGGGTCAGCACTCTGGCCAAAAGCTTGTGGCTTTCTTCTTCACCGGCCTGCAGGGATCTCCATTCTGGCAAAGCTGAGTGGTTTTCCCTTTCACCTGGGAAAGAGGGGATCTGCACTCTGCCAAAACCACGTGACTCCCTCTTCCACCTCCCTAAGAGAAGGTCCTCACTCTGCCCCAAACCACAAGGCTCTCCCCAATAGCTGCCTCAATATCCCCATGCCAGTCCTCCTTGCAGCCCCATTTCCGACTCCTCCTACAATCAGTTACACTTGCCAGGACTCCCATACCCTCCCAGCTTTACTGGGCTGCCATAGTGAGTCTGGGCAGGTGTGGCCCCAGGGCATGGAGCCAATCAACTCCAAGCTCTCACGTAGGCGCTATAACTGGGGGGGAGGGGGGGAACCTGCCCCCCAGTTATATCTTGGGTGGAAGCCACTCCCTTCTCCCTGGCTCAAAGCATGGCCACAGCTATTTAACATATCTATGAAACCAGTTAAAGGTTATAGATATGTTAAATGACCATTCCAGAGGTTAGTTGCGAATCTGTTGCTATGCAAAACAACTCTCAATGGCCCTGGATCTATTTGTTCCTTCCCCCAACTGACACCTGGGGGGGGGGGGCGGTGAGGACATCTTAATATTTCCTGGACACCCTGAGTTCTGGACCCCATTTCAGAATTTTCGGGGGGGCTCCCCTCCTGGCTGCACCCTGTTATAGGACTACTATTTGTCCAGGACTAACTGTACAGAAAGTTGCTTCAAGGAATTAAAATTTCAAGGTTGCTGATCTAGGATCTCATATATTCACAAAAATATTGCCTTAAAAAAAAAGAACAAGGCTGTTTTATAATCTACTTGAATGACATCAGATGATCAAATACTGTAAAAACTTTTCCAAGTTTTTTCCCCAAAAAGTCATCTAAATATTGTACAACAGGCTAGTAAGCCAGGACAAGTGGAAGAGGGAAACTTTAGACAGATAACAGCCAAGTAATTTAAAGCAATCTAGTAAATCGCTAAATCCTATCTTTGGTAACCAAGGACACATAAGAGTAAATGGTTTACGCTTCTCCCCAACCAGAGGGTAAATAGGTTAAATCACCCTACTCTGGGTAATAGATAGCAAAAATCCAATTAGTGCTATTATGCCACTCACACCCAAGGACAGAGGAAGTTAAGGGAATAAATCTCACTTGGTACATCAGTCTAAAGCTGATGAATATTCTACTGAGATCCTCCCCAAGACCTCCCATAAACCTTCAACCTTTAAAACTCTCCAAAGGAAGGTCCCAGAGGCACACTCTCCCTCCCAGGAACACAGTGTGCCTTTCCTTACCCCTCTACTTTCCCCCAGAGGCGTGCATCTCCTAAACTCTAAAGGAGCCCCCCCCCCACCCCCCAAGGCTTGCAACCAGGGAAGCAATGGGCAGCCACTGCTCATTCCAGGCAAACCGCCTTATCATGTCCCCAAGACCCCTTGTCTCTGACTTCTCAGTGAACCAAAGCAGCCCAACCTGGGCTTATTTCCCTACCTAGTCCCTCTTCTGTTGGCCCTCCTATCCTGGGCCCTTCCTTGTTTCTCTGTCCCCGGCTTTGATAAACATCCTCTAAAATCACTTGAACTCATGTTGGGAAATCTTTCCTGCATGAAGTTAAGCCCACACACTACCGGCCAGCCTTGACAGAACCACTTAGGGCCAGGTCCCCTTTGCGGTAACACCGTGATCAGAGAATTGTGACAACTACCATATGTAAAAGGGAAGCTGTACTGTCTTTGCTTAAAGCTTGAATCATCACATTGACACAACACAAATGGTGCAATCCAATGTCAACATAACTTTCTAAGTTAACATTTCACCTTTTGCTCCTTTTTCCCCCTGGTGTACTTGAAGGTACTAGAAAACTGATCTTCACCAGGTAGTGTTTGAAATTGAAAATCAGGTTTTCGAAACAATTGTTTTACTAGATTGAACTGATTTAACCTCAAACAACATATGATAAAGACATTAAAGAAAAAAACAGTTCTGTGCACTTGGAAACTATGTGAACACATCAGTATTAATTATATCAGGGTGAACCATTCAGACAATTATATAGCATATTTGATACAAACAAAAATACTTTATATATAAATATAATCTTTTTATTTTAAAATTCTACCCTGTTAAATATGAATCAGGAAGTGTTCTGGTAATTGCCACGTCCAACGCTAACTACGTCGTCTAACAAAGTCACAGCATGGGGACTGTGACTTCACAGAAGCATGTTCCGGCCAGGTGGACGTGGCATAAGTGGATATATGGTTTTGATTCTGTTTGTGCTGACTCTTGGTATTCTGACATTTACCTTTCTGATAATTTGGAATCTCCTAGAAATGATGGCCATTCTCAGAGCTGATCAACAACTAGGTCAGACTGAGAACAATGCCACCTTGGCCTTTCCCCAAAATAATACCCTCTCTGGGGGCCCAGAGGAGGAAAGGCCCACAATGTCCAGTGAGTCCAAGGGGAAGAATATTTCCTTCCCTAACCCAATTAAACAGATGCAGGATAAGTTAATATTAGGTGGCAGGGAGCCAGAATTACCCAGGGCGTTCCCCCAAGTTAATCCCCTCTAATAAAATAGCCCCTGAATATCCAAAAGTTGTTGGAGTAACAGCCCCTCCTTTACCTTGAACAAGAATATATATTAATTAAAATTGAGCAGGCAAAGAAACAGGAAAAGCTTGTTAGATACCACAAACTAAACACGTGAAACAATTACCAAGGAATTAGAGTCCACAGTACATAGAAAAATATTTTAGACAGAAAGACAGATAGCTAAGTTAGACATCACAAAGGCCTTATAACAAATTTCCTAACCTCTGCTCGGTCTAGCGTATCTTTTGCCCCATGCCAAATTCTAGACCTTTAATAAACAATAAGACATTCAAACTCTGTACATAGAGCTATTTCAAATTGTCTGATTAATAGTTCTCCTGGTCAAAACAATTTCTGTTTAATATAACTGAAACTATAGAAATTCTTGTACTTTTCCTGGTTACCTTCGTATTGATTTTTTTCTGCTTAACTGATCATGCTATACACCTGCAAATGTTAATCACTACCTAAAATGAAAGTATAAAAACCTGCTTGTACTTGCAATAAAGGGAACAGAGCTTCACTGTCCTTTGAGGCGTGATGTCGTCTGTTACCCATCACCGACGCCTTACCCACCTTCGGGAATCCCTGGACCCTGCTGTGGCTGGACCGTGGCAGGAAATCACCACACCAACAAGTATTTTGTTAGTTATAAGAGCAAGCCAAATTTTATAACAGAAGTATGTAATTAAATTATATATTAATACAAAGAGGCAAAGAATTAAATAAGTTTATTCTTATTTTGATTTACTTATTCAGAAGCCATTCGACTCAAGCATATAATTTTCTATAGATTTATATTTTCCCTCTACAGAACTAGTGCACTAACATAAAGTGATTCTGCACAATCAGCCATAATATGTACAAAGATTCCCAATACTTCCAGTTGTTTTTGAAAAGCTTAAAACGTAAATACTCACTACAATACCTAGCTGCTTCTAGTAGTCATTAAGATTTTAGTTCTGTTCCTTGAATTATATTCCGAATCTTCTCAGCATCATTTTGTACAACTTTGTTGGATGGATCAATCTTAAGTGCAGCTTCATAATCCTGTAGGCCTATATTTATATAGCAATAATGATCAATAAAAATATTTCATAAATACTTATATTATCTATACAATATTTTTTAAAAATAAAAATGACAACTAAGAACATGGTTCAGAACCTGTACCGGGTTTTACTTTATTTTATTTATTTATCTTTAGAGGGGAAGGGAAGGAGAGAGGGAAAGAAATATCAATGTATGGTTGCCTCTCGTGCGTCCCCTCCTGGGAACTGGCCTGCAACCCCAGCATGTGCCCTGACTGGGAATCGAACTGCGATCCTTTGGATCACAGGCCCACACTCAATCCACTGAGCACACCAGCCAGGGGTAGGACTTGTACCAGGTTTTAAATCAGAGTCCCATCTTCACACACATGGTAGTATCTCTAACAGACCATAGACATTGTTCAGTGATTTCAGAAATAAGTATAATGAGTTCATTCAGAATTCAGTAAGAAGTAGTTATTTTAAATTCAAGAACAAATAAGCTAAGAGCTTTAACTCATTAAAGCATGAACAGAATCAATAAAACTCATATAATGATGTAATCCATAACCTGTAGTTTGTGGGGTTTTTCTGTAGTTATCATAGCTACGGAATTCCTTTAGGATAATTGGTGAAGGAAAGAGTTGTGGAAAGCTTGGTAAAAATACATAACTGAGGCCATGACCGATGTGGCTCAGCTGGGGCAGCATCATCCAGGCAAAGCAAAAAGTCCCTGATGATTTCTGGTCAGGACCCCGCCCGCTACCCCAAACTTGGGTGGTGGGAAAGGTAACCGATCTATGATTCTCTCCCTCTCTTTCTTCCTCCTTTCCTTTATCTCTAAAAATGAATAAATAAAATATTTAAAATATTAAAACATATATGTAGATTTATGTATGTATGTGTGTGTGAGTGTGTGTGTATAGACTGAATCTAAATCTTTACCTATAAGGCAATGGGAAGAATTTCTTTGGGAGGAGGGAAACAAGCTCTTTTATTTTTTAAAGATTTGTATTTAGTTATTTTATTTTTGGAGAGAAGGGGTGTGTGAGAGAGGGGAAGGGAAGGAAAAAAAGAGAGAGAGAAACATCAGTGTGTGGTAGCCTCTCACATGCCCCCTATTGGGGACCTGGCCCACAATCCAGGCACGTGCCCTGATTGGGAATCGAACAAGCCACTCTGTGGTTTGCAAGCTGGCACTCAATTCACTGACCCACACCAGCCAGGGCTGGAAACAAGTTCTTAAGTGCTATTGATTTGCTATGCCACTTTGGAGAAATCACTTATCTTCTCCAACACCTCATTTTCTCATCTTTAGCTAAAAAAATTCTGATGCTATTATAATTTGTAAAGATAATATTATAATGTTTCCTTCCTATCTTGGTATTTTTTATTTCATGAAGCTAGATAAAGGCACTAAAAAAATGGGACATATATACCTAATTTTGATGTTTTGGTTAGGAAAATCTCCTAAAAATGGCAGAAACAAGTTTAAAATGAAGAAATAATAAAACTTTTAAAGGCTAGAGCCCATCAGGCATTGAATACAGGGAAGCTAAGCAGGCATCTGGGAGAGAGGTATGGGAGAGGGTGTTGGGAACCGCCCTGCCTGGTTTCAGAAGCTGTAACCCCCACATGGATAAGGCTGAGTGAGTGACCTCAAACCAGAAGCCACCAAAAAGACAAAGCTTATTTCCCTGGCAGGGGTTCCACCTCTGCTCCTTTTACTTCAACCTGCTTGGCCCCAAATGCTTGATCCATTAACCAATGACAGGTAAGATTCCCCTTCGGTCATGGGGAGCCCTAGGGAAGGACTTGGGGGCCTACAGCAAAAGGGGGTGATGGACCCTCATCCCTCGACTTTGACATAGCCTGAGTCCTCATTCTGTCTGTGAAAAAGCTCTTGGCTGCCTTACTTCCCCTGCCTGATTTAAGCCTGAAACAATGCCTTAAGCCTGAAACAATGCTGGAAGTGGGTGCCACCCTGTGCTGGAAAGGGCGAGTTCCTTAGAGCGATCAGACCTAAGAAAGAATATGTAAAATCCTGTGAAACCTGCTTTGTTTAGAATGCTCTCAATTAAATGATAAGGGTCCAAGGAGCAAGTGAATTTGTTCCCAGAAGTTTTATGGCCTTTTAGCTATCTCACCCTGACTTAAAATAGGCCCTCTGAGTTCTTTGTATGTTATCTATTGTTTGATCCTCACTGCCTGATAATGATTAATGAGCTTTACCTGTATTCCTGTGCAAAAGGAACCCAATAAAAGCCCATTGAGGAAAAGGCTCTGGGCCCTTCTCCTCTGAGAAATGGGCCACCTTTCTTCCCCAAGCAGATCATGTCTTGGTAGACTTATTCTCATTTGTGGCAGCTGGGGGCGGAGCCCCCCCACAAGAGGGAGAATTGAAGATAAAACTCTGGTTACTACAATATTTTGCCTTTGGGGCAAACATGAGTAGCTAACCACAAATAATGCCTGAATACATTAGAAGTATAAAACAATAACAGTTAAATAAATGCTATGGTTTCTATACACACAGGGCTTGGTTATAAACCTTGGTACAGTGTTACAAATATAAGCAATGATCACACATTGTGGTAGATTTCTGAGCATGTTTATGTGTGTGTGTGTCCAAAGAATCTCACTTTAAAATTTCTATTACATTTAGAGAGTAATTTATATTCTTTATCACACATCTTTTCATGGAAAAGTTAATACCACAGCATTTTCCAAGATTACATCTTGTTCTAACTCCCTTCTACAATAACTAATTTTTTAACTATTTCAAAATGATTTTTTGTCAGGTAAGTTACAAAGAATAGATTAAGTGCTAAAAATATTTTTAAAATGGAGTCCTAAAAAGTATGATCTTAAATAATCCCAATGATATTTTTTTCAGAGTATAATTTGGAACTCAAAACATTTCTATCATTTACTTACCTTCTATATACAATTCTAGTTGACAGAATGCGGTTCCACGTCGTACGTGTGCCTTTATTCTTGCACTAGCATTGTCTGCAACAGGTGGTGTCAATAATTCTAGTGCCTTACAAAAAAACAATAAGGGAAAGATGTAACATTCTAATTTAAACTTGAGCAAAAACATGGTAAAAGCTTTAACTTTAAAACAAGACTTAAATGGTGATGGAAAAAATAAATAAGAACTAAAGTTAAGAAAAAAAAATAAGCATCAAACCCTCACCCACCGCAAATTTGGCTTAGCTAGCACAGGAATTTAAATACATACATTTATATTTAAAAAAGTAAGGAATTATTCAGTTGTTCATACCCTCTCCCCCAAAGTTATGATTTATCATTTGAAACCTCTAAAGATTTACCCTTACTAGCAAGAATGATTAAATAGCATTTGTGTTTTTATATTCAAATTAGATGATTCAGTTTATTCATTTATTCAATAAATATCTGTTTATGCACAAAACCATACTAGCAAAAGGAAAACTATATAAAAAATTATCACTTGCTTAGTAGCTAAATAAGATCAAAGTATGAGGACTTGGTTGTTTCCTGTACATCCTTTATCTCAAGGAGCCACATAAAAGATTTAGCATGTGATTTCCCCTTAAAACAAATTACTTTGATATAAAAAAAAGAATAAACTAGCAGTTTAAAATAATGACATGATATTAGTAATGAAAATTAGGATATACTAAATTATTACTCTGAGAATGGAAAAAAATTATTGAGATAGCCTTTTCCTGTGTGGGTGGTAGTGATATCAAGTGTTCTTCCTTCTACCTTGTATTATGTGTGCAAAATTTTAATAAGGAAAAGGGGAGCACAAACTGACAACAACTTACTCATACTATGTGAATTTCAACTGATATACCAAGGCAATATAGTAGCAATAGATAGAAAACTTCCAATCTCAAGAAACACCAGTTCCTTGTCCATGAAAAAAAAAATCTTTCATTTCAGAAAAAGAGATATAATAAGCAAGATGATTATTAAAACCTTTTATTATTTAAATAATCTTCAATTATTTATTAACATATAAAAGGTAAGGGCGTCATTTAAACCAATAAATAGGAAGATAACAATTTGAAAGTACCACATATAAATAAATAGATATATATACCTTAGAAGAATCTTCAATGGCCTTGTGTAAGTTTTTTAATTTTAGATGGCAAGCAGCTCGATTCAGATACAACAGTGGAATCTTATTATTCAGTCTTATGGCTAAGTTGTATGCATTGATAGCTGCCAAATAGTTTTCTGTTGCAAACAACTTGCTAATGAGACAAACACAGAAAAAAATATATAACACTGAAGCAGAAACACAGAAATAATATCTAAGGATATTTTCTGTTCCCTGTACAACTGGGGTTGTAGACTATACTGACTCCACATACATCAGCATGTAATCAGCATGACCTTACCCCTACCTCCAAGGGAGACATCAGTAGTTTAAGCCAGTAGACATAATTCCATTCTCCTTGCTACATTTTTTTAAAGGATTTCATTTATGTTTTAGAGAGGAGGGAGGGAGGGAGAAAAGGAGGGAGAGAAACATCCATCAGTTGCCTCTTGCAGACCTGCAACTGGGGACCTGGCCCGATAACTCAGGCATGTGCTCTGTCTAGGAACTGAACCAGTGACCTTTCATTTCCCAGGCCGGTGCTCAACTCACTGAGTCACACCAGTCAGGTGTGACTGGGATGTGTCCTTTGCTAGGATGATTGACTCAGGGATAGGCTTACAACCAAAATTACATTCAGAATGCAACCTGTGACTTTACTTCCAAAGTTAGAGAATGAAAAACTGGAAAACTCCCCCTGCTAGATATAAGTGAAGAAAGCACACAGCCTAAACTGTTTAATTGCATGGGAGGAGCAAATGCTGGAGTAAAGCTGATACCATGGAATTATGAAAAGAATAAGAAGGCAGAAGGAAACAGTCCTTGGTGATACAAGCTTTGCGGGAACAAGCTTTACCTAAAATACAATACAGCTTTGGCTTTTTAGTTATATAAGCCAATAAATTTCTTTTAACATAAGTCCAGTTTAAATTGGCCTTTCTTGGTTACTGGCAAACAAAAGCATCCTAATAGATATACTATTTCAGTTCAAGTCTTCCAAAATTCTCTTACAACAAACAGATGTACATAATTGAAGAATTTATTTAAAATGTTGTTTTTGTCATTTTTCATGTACAATTCCCAGAATTTTGAAAAATGTATAAACATAAGAAAAATAGAAAAATATTTTGCCAAGTATAAAAGTGCCATTAAAATAACTCTTTGTATTCATTGCCAGTCAATTGCACATACTTTACAGTTCTAGAATATTACACATGATGATATCAAAAGCAGACCAGCAAAAGCAGCCAGTAAATCCTGAGTAAAAGGTAAAATGACACCACTGTGACATGTAACCTAAGTCTAACTCAAGTTTAAATTAACCTCCACAGACTAAAAAAGCTAATTCTGTGAGAACGGTTTCCATATCTGAAATGCTTCATATCAGCCTAGGATGTTACTGACCACAAGTAACAGAATCCCACTTCAAATTGGCTTAAGTCAGTAAGGAAAGAAATTATCTTACATTTAAAACACAGGTGGCAAACACAAGGCCCGCAGGCTGAATCCGGCCTCCACCTTGTTTTATCCAGCCCCCCACTTTGTTTCTACCCAGCAGCAGCACGGAGCTCCTTGCCCCTAGTTAAGGAGTAGTTATATTTATGCAGTCCTAAAATTACATTCAGCCCTTTTAAGGCAACAGAGAGGCTGATGTGGCCCCCAGTGAAAATGAATTTGACACCCCTGATTTAAAAAGTCCAGAGGGAAAGACCGTGCCCAACATAACCAGCACATTGAAGATGTTATCAAGGGCCCGGGTTCCATCCATTTCTCCATTCCACTGTACCGAGCTGCAGTAGGGCTAGGCCTGGCTAGGGCTAGGGCTTTAAACTAGGGCTAGTTTCCCTCACAGGTGCAAAATGGCTGCATAGTACAAAGTGCCACATTCAGGCACAGTAGTCATTAGAAGAAAATAAGACAGTATATTCTGATACATAATCCTTATGAGCAAGAAATTCTTTCCCAGAAATCCCCTGATTCACCTCCTTTCCCATCTTACTGACCAAAAGTACCTACCCTTAAAAAAAGATTTCCTCTTAAAAAGCCACCAGTCTCTCTTTCCCTGAATTGCTCTCTCCCCTTTCTATATTACTTCACTTTTCCTCCTCAATACTATATATATTGCTGTTTTAGAACATTTAAAAAAATTCAACTATACGACCATCTTTCCATGTTAATAAATACAGGGATACACTATCTTTTGCTATTGAGTTGTAGTAGTTCTTTATATATATATGCATATTCTGGATATATGATTTGCCAGATATATGATTTGCAAATATTTTCTCTATTCTATGGGTTGCCTTTTCACTCTGTTGATAGTGTTCCTTTTTTAAAAAGGTTTTATTTATTTATTTATTTATTTATTTATTTATTTACTTATTTATAGATATAGGGGAAGAGAGGGAGAGCTAGAAGGAGAGAAACATTGATGTAAGAAAGAAACATCAATCAGTTGCCTCTCACACATGCCCCATTGGGGGACTGAACCCAAACCCAGGCATGTGCCCTGAACAAGGAACTGAACTGGCAACCTTTACTTTGTGGGACAACACCCAACCAACTGAGCAACGCCAGTCAGGGCAATAGTGTTCTTGATGTACAAAAGTTCTAAAATTTTTTGAAGATTTTATTTATTTATTTTTAGAGAGGGGAAGGGAGGGAGAAAGGGCAAGAAACATCAGTGTGTGGTTTCCTCTCGTGCACCCCCTACTGGGTACCTGGCCTGCAACCCAGGCATGTGCCCTGACTGGAAATCAAACCGGCAACCCTTTGGTTTGCAGACCAGCACTCAATCCACTGAGCCACACCAACCAGGGCAAAAGTTCTTAATTTTGATGCACTACAACTTAGCTATTTTTAAAAAATCTCCTATGCTTTTGATACCACATCTAAGAAATATCACCAAATCCAGTATCATGAAGCACCCTGTGTTTTCTTCTAAGAAGTTTGTAGTTTTAGCTCTTATGTTTAGTTTTTTATCTATTTTGAATTAATTTTTGTATATAATGTTAGGTAAGGGTCAAACTTCATTCTTTTGCATGTGGATATCCAGTTTTCCCATCACCAATTGTTGAAAAGGCTGTCCTCTCTCCACTGAATAGTGTTAGCACCCTTTTTGAAAATCATTTGACCATATGGTATATGAGGGTTATTTCTGGACTATTTATTCCATTGATCTATATGTCTGTACAAACCTTATAGTAATATCTACATTTGGAGAACAGTTCCATTTTCATCTTTAATATAAGTTTACAATTTTATAATGCAATAGTTTTTTCAGAAAAACTCTCCCAGGTTCTAATGGAAGAAGAGCTACAATGAACAGCATTTTAAAAAAATCACTGTAAGCCCTGGCTGGTGTAGCTCAGTGGATTGAGCGCGGGCCTGGGAACCAAGCAACCACGGTTCGATTCCCAGTCAGGGCACATGCCTGGGTTGCAGGCCAGTTCTCTCCCTCTCTCCTTCCTTTCCCCTCTAAAGATAAATAAATAAAATCTTAAAAAAAATCAGTGTAGAATGAATAGCAAGAATTATGAAGTTTTATAATTTTTAATGTTTATACATATATTAAAATATAAATCCATATGAACATTACATTCAGTAAAATTCAATACCACTACAACCAAGAATAGTCTAACTCAGAAACAGCCAAATTTCAAAAGAAAAAGGAAAAAAATTAAATTTCTGTCTAAAAAGCAGTAAGCATTGAACATCAAATTTAAACAGAGAAGCTAATAACCATTAAGTCTACCCAGAAGCCCCAAATAAGGCAATGGTAGTGAAGAGTTATGCGAAAGTCCTCATTCATTAAACATATATTGAGAGCTTATTGTACTCAAGAGACAAGAACAATTGCAAATTCCTCTCATTTTTAGGATGACTGATCGGTTTGCCTTTGTAAAGAAAAAAAACATTCTAACTGGCAAGGCCAAAGGGGTCAAACATTTTGAACAAGAGTTGAGTGTAGGAAAAGCAACAAGAGGCAGGAGTGATAAGAAAGAAGTGAGTAGAAAGAAAGAAAAATCCAAAGCAGTTGGGCTTGGAAACTGGGATGGAGGCAACGCATTCTAACAGAAGACAGAACAGCTGTTTTGTGCACTGGAAAGGGAACTGTAGCACCCACTGCCCCATAAAGGACTTTGAAAGTCCTTGTCTCTTTCAGCATCTTGTCTGGGTATAAAGTATTCTTGGGTATCCCAAGAGCTTCCAAAGTTGGTAACAGTTTGCCTTAGTGCATCAACCATTACAAATTTAGCACACAGGATGGAAGGAGGAAAAGGATACTGCAAACTAAGTCAGGCCATAATAGGTGCACTGCAACAGAATATAAGGGGCTGTAAAATACAAACAAACAAGCAACTGAACAAAAGTCTAATTACTTCAAAGAAGTCATCTTAGAATACGGAATCTAAAGTTCCTTAAGTCAGGTAGCAGCATAAGAAACCTATCTTTTCTCCATAAAAAGAATTTTTAAAATGCAGCCAAGCAAGGCAGATTCGACAGATATGTATTAAAAGTAGGCAGGTACAAGGGGCTATTGGGAGATAGTTCTCCAAGGGTCTGGTGCGTTTCTTATGTCAGACCTACTGACAGATTTTGTTTAGGACTATCTTTTCAAAGATGTTTGTATAGCACACAACCTTGAAAGACAAAAAGTGCAGATTTGTTTGCTGCTCTTTATAATAAAGACAGTATCTCCCCATGAAGTAGTTTGAACAAATTTGCTTATAATGTTGTAAAAAATCATGTTCCTTAAGCTCAGCCTTCTCAGCTATGGTGCAAACCTACTGTGTGTATAGCATCCACCTGGGCCCACCTGTGCAATGGCCCTGTGAGACTTGAAGGGCAAAAACAACCAACATGCAGAAAGCTCATGCCGCTTGCTGTGTCTTAAATAATAAAGTCCTTGTCTCTGATCCATTAGTCTTCTGGCTTCTCCCAGCATCCATTAAACTGTGGTAGCTAATCCATTATAGTTCTTGCCAGGGAACGGACCCAGACCAAAGTATTCAAAGAAAATCAATTTGGCAAGTAGAACTGTATGCCATGTTGGGAGAATACAGTAACAGCTGGTTGACAATCAGCATCTGAAAGTCTAACATGAGCCCTGGCTGGCATGGCTCAGTGGACTGAGTGCTGACTGGCAAACCA